AGCTTTACTTTGATCCTTTATTAGTTGGTTTGAAAAACACTATTTGCAAAACTAACTTTGATTAAAAACATTGAATAATAAACATTATTTTTTTATTAATAACCCATCAAATTATTGCCATTTATTAATAATTATTAATATTATTAATATAATAATTGCTTATATTATTTTTTAATGTTTATTAAGAAATAAATAAACACATTTTTTTAATAATAATAATAATAATTAATAATTTATTAATTATTTTTTAGGAATAAATAAACATGATTTTTCTACTTCCAACATACATAAAAATATATCCCTGAACTATAGAACTTTTCAGTTTGTTTGGAGCTTCTGAAGAGAATGTTAAAGTCAAAAATGAAAATTACGCTTCTGCAAATTTAGCGGTTATCTGATGAAAATTAAAAAATTCTCTTAGCTATAACAAGAATAATAAGAATTAAAACATGTATACAGACTTGAAAGAGTATACGATATTATTTATTAAAAAAATTGGTATTTACATATCATTTTGAAACAGTTTCTGAATTACGAATTTCAATCGTAAGTTTAAAAATAACTGATAATATTATTGAAACTTAATTAAAAGAAACACATACGTACCAGGTAAATACCAATAAAATGTTAAATATTATGTTTGGATATTACTCGGTTTATAAGCATTGTAATAAAGATATAAAAGATAAAAAGTAGCTTAAGGTAACAAATGAATATCAGTAATTAACAAAAACTTAACATGTTACTTTACATGTAACGAATGAGGATATTTAGAATTATATATAATACAATAGTAAGGTAAAGATTACTAACAATATATTAACTATCTTGTCAAAACCTGATGAAACATAACTACAACAATATAAAAAAGAAAAAAAGATGGGGAAAAAATCGGACTGACATACGGAAAAATAATGCATAAAAAAATGCATGATTCGCACAAAAATATTTGATGACCCTTAGGTAAGAAAATACAAATATAAAAATTAAGCAGTTTTCCATCTTATGGAAATAGTTTCCTTATGTACCAGGAAATTGTAAGGGTCTGTTAAATAATGATCTGGAGAACCTATATTTCTTCGCAGGTGCTCTGTTTTTAAGTAAGCTTGTTTAAGGTACTTAGGAAAGGGTCCAATTATTTATAAAGTAATAATTTCTGGTTTATTAAAATAATGATAAAAAGGAAAATCTTTATTTATCAAATAAAAAAAAATCATTCAATTGTTTAAGTACATGAATGACCGACAAACGGGCCACACTGTGGAGCTTTAATACTTGTACGCGAATACTTATTGAGACATTAGAAAAGAAATTTTAAAAAAAATTATAACGTTCCTTTCAAAAACTATATAACATATGCAAGAAAATCTACTACTCAATTTTTTAAATTTTACTAACAAGCAATTTTCCAAATTTACAAGATTTGTGTAAGTTTGAGTAGTTTTGGATCACCACATAAATGCGAACAAAAGTTTTTTTATAAGGAACATAATGTAATCGAAATGTCGTTCAAGGTTAACTTATATGCACCTAAAACTTCGGCTGTTGTTAGCATTTTCAAAAACTAATCCTACTAGTGATAATTTTGTGAAAAAAATCAATAGCTTCATTAATTACTGACTGTTTAAAAATCATTTAAAATAAATATATCAAATTATTCATTTTTACTTCCCTCATAATCTAACTGTCCTCATCTTGTTCATTAATAATAAAATTACGCTTGTGCTTTTGTTTCCTTTCTTTGTTATGTAAACCTTTAAAAATTAATATTTGAAACCATTAACTGAACCTTAAAAACTGTTTATTAGCAATAAAACAAAGCTCGTGATTTTGTCTTATTTATTTAATATGTTTCTTAATCACCACTATTCAGACTTATGAAAAATCTGCTATATGTGCAGAAAAATATCAAAATCAAGCTGTAAAAAACTTTTTTTTACCTTTTTACATTTTTAGTATGCTGAAAAAAAGTTGAAATGCAAGCATATTTTTTCTTCCTAAAGTGGCTCTAAAACATTTGGCTACGCCTGGTTTAGTAGTTCTGGAGGAACAAGTAATAGAATTCAATGAACTTCTTTCTACCTAGGCCCTACTTTTTTCTTGCAAGAACAAGACATGAGTTTATGAGCAAAAGTACTCTAAACCACTCCTTTAATAGATGCATTCTGCTTTAAGGACTAATTTTTGGGAGGACATTGTGAAGGGTCTCCAATTATATTTTGAATATTTCTATAATTTAAAGACTGGATTATTGCAGCAATAAGAATTATTGCTAAAAGAATTTCATAACCTTTAAAGAGAATTATATTTTTTTATCTTTCTTTTTTGGCATTCGTAGAATAATTCCGAAAAGCTTTATTCCCAGATTTGCTTATTTGTAATTGGATACCTTGTATCAAGTTTTGTGTAGGTAAATAAATTTTTTAAAGAAAAAGATGCTTTGGAACTTAGTTATAGTAGTAGCAAACTGCTGTCACCAGATTGCACATTCTTTTATTAATATGATTAACCTTTAGCTGTCATATTTTGCTGATACTGGAAATTTGTGGTCGAGAGCAGTCATATTACCACAAAGCACAATTAGCACAAATAGCCATAAACTCACTGAACCGATAACCTCGCCGAAAACGTTATGGTATTTTATTAAACATTTTAAGTAGGGAGCTTTTCTCACAAAATAACAGGAAAATTTACACCATTAAGAAAACGTTGATTTTTCTAGATCTCAGAAAATAATAATTTGTGTATAATTGTATAACAAGAATTGAAAAAAATATGGAACCAATCTAACAAATTTGTAATTTTTGAAATATAAATTGGATATGAATAGTAAGCGCACCAAAAGGACGAGGAAAGTTTTTCCAGTGGTTGCTTAAATGGCTACAGTTTTAATATTTACAGTGCAGAAGTAGAACATTTATGGCACATTTACAGCCCGTAATTTTTAAGAAAAATGAAAATTTCCACTTTTTATTAGTATGTATATTATTTATGCTAAAATCATATATCATGAAATACACATAATTGATTATATTGGGTCCATTTTTTTGCATTACCGTGTATTTGTTTTCACTGGTAGTTTATAGTATTGTAGTAAATAACGGTCTCTGAGAAAACTTATCAATTAATTAATATCGATAGAAGTAGTTCCAAAAGAAACACGTATAGTATTATAAAAGTGGTTAATACGAGTTAAGTAGCAAAATATTTAAAAAAATTACAGAAAGAGCTAACATTACGATGAAGCAAGGAACAAAAATGTCAATTATTAAATTTCAAACAATTGTAAGATACAAAAATATTAGCAGACTTTCATTATTTATTATTAAATAAATTAATCTTATAAGAAAATGTGTATAAGCGCAAACAGTGTGAAATCCTTAGAACGTGCATCCAACTAAACAGCTTCTATTGATTCAGAGAAAATTAAGTATCTAAATGATTAAAAAGAACATACTGCTAAGAACATCTAAATAGAAATAATTAATATTTTTGCAATAACTTAATTTATTTTTCCGACATAATTTAAATTAAGTATAAACTCACTTTACGATTATAAATTGCGAAAACAGTTCTAAAAGTAAAGATCTTCTATTTTTCTTGAAATACAAAATTTCGTATATTTTATTTAAAATTTCATCATTTTGAAGGTTGAAAGCTGTTTTTCTATATAATCATTTGTTCGGTTGATACATTTTTGTGAACTCTCTACCAGTTTTTGTAATGCCTATACCTACTCCTATCATGTAATGTCTATACCTACTCCTATCGTGTAATGCCTATACCTACTCTTCTTTGTGTCTCCGTTCAATGAGTTATATCACCGTCCAGCCAATTAGGGTGACAGTCGCTATATCAAAAACTAGGGATAAAAGGATGTTCATTGAGATTTATAAAAGATTTTGGCAGGTAACGTGTGGAGAATACTTTGCTCAACATTCCTATTCTATGGTTTCGAAATGCTTGCTTATCGTTTTATTAGTGATGCGGAGGACTTGTCAGTGTTTATTTTGGTTTCAGCAGGCATAATATCGGTAGACGGTAAAAAAGAGGTTCGGGGAAAAAAAGACCCGGTAAAAAGTGTCCCTGAAAAAAAAAAGTCCAGTAAAAAGGTACCTTAACAGGTAAAATTGCATGTTGAGCAGGGCGCACTTTTTGTTTATTTTTAAATGGGGGAAACCTATTTTATTTATTTATTATTATCTTTGCTTATTTTTTGAATGAAGGATATGTTATTTTTAATAAAATTTTACTTTAAATTTTATTAATTTAAAAATAGACTTTTGAATATTTTTTTCACATTCAACTTTAATAAATTTTAATGAATAAATATCATAAGTAGTAAACAAAAGAATTGAAAAAAAATGACACATTGAGTGAGAGCAACAACATAAAGTCGACCTTGAATGTAGCAGGGAAAAGGAGCTTCAATCGTATCTTTTCTTTTCAAATATTTTTCCTTACACAATTTTCCCTGAGCTGAAACTTTTTTTACCGGGACCTTTTATTCGGCTGACATTTTCTTTATTTTTTCATCCATACCTATTGTACCGGGACCTTCTTTTCCAGGGAACTTTTTTTCTAGGGACTTTTTTTTCCTGGGACCTTTTTCACCGGTAACTTTTTTTCCGGACCTTTTTTTTCGTACTATTTCTCCGAGACCTTTCTTACCTACATTCATAATATCGACCTACTCTAACATTAAACGATTCCATAACGACGACGTGGAGAAAGATGAGGCTCTATGCTTCTTCAAAGACATACAAGGAAGTTGGTAATGCCATGAACATACAAACACTGTTACAGATTCTGCGAAATTTCATTGACCGGTTTGAAACTTTTTAGAAAAGTGAAGAAGGAAAATTTAACCCTTAAAATTATGTAAATATGTATTATGGAAAATAAGGAAATTTTATATATTTTCTAAATAGACCTTCTTTTGGAGATGCTTTCGTATTAAAGTGTCTAAATAATTCACATGAAGCCACTTTATTTTTCAGAAAGGCAACTTGTACACGAGTGGGCTCATTTGAGATATGGCGTATTCGATGAGTATGGTATTCCAGGGAACAAGCGTTATCCAATGTTTTATAGAGAAGGAGGAAAAGTAAGCATTATTTAATATTCCAGAATATTGCGAAATCTGCTATGATTAATTTTTGTTTTTTTTTATTTCTGGAAGCTGGGTTACAGCATATAAGGTAACACTATACTTATCTAAGCAGTTTAAGCAGCGACATTAAACTAAAGAGATCATGAATAGTTTTTTTTTCTCCATATTTATTATGCTTCCAACAAAAGGTGTCCTATACTACTAATATGTTCTCTGTTTTACTATTTAATTAAGAAACCTTTGCTTCTAATCAGATGCACAGTTCGCAGAAATGTTAACTTTGCTTATGCCAAAATGTTAACTTTCAACTTACTCTAGACGAGAAGTTGGCATACCTCTTCGAGTACATTGGAATAGCCTTATTATAAATATGATTTTAAAGTAGCTGTAAATTGTTAATGAAAAAAAGTTTATTTCCATACAAAAGCAAGAAAATAATTAAAATTATTTTAGACACTTACTGGTTGAAAGTAAGAAAGAAAATACGAGAGATAAAATAAAAATCAATAATAAAATCAGGGATAACTTAGTAAGTATAGTTCACACACTAGTAGCAATAGAACTCTGTCCGTCATAGGAGCTATGTCCGAGAATATTGACCAGATATGAGCAAAAGGGCTGCTCTGTGCTGCAATTGAAAAAAACAACGAAATTGCTTTACGATAGATTTACGATAGAAAAATGGCTTGATAACAATTAATTTAATTGCTAATGCTGTAAATGCTAAAATAGAATTTCAGAAAACTGATAGGAAATTTTATTTATTTTGCATTATTTAGCTTATCATGCGAAAATGCCAACATATAAATATCTCAATTTTGGATTCTTTATTGTCACTTATATTGATGTTTCTTTTGCTCGGCAATATTATCTTGCCATCAATCTTCATATAATTCTCTGATTTATCCAAAGTTTTATAGATCTTATTCAGTCTGTATAGATTTATCTGTCTATATTTATTAGCCACTATTTCAGACTATAAGGAACCTATTATCCTATCCTAAGTTCATTGGAGAAAAATTTAATCTTACCCTTTCGGGGAATATTCTTTGTTGAGAAAATATTGAACTCTATTGTGAACAAGAAAAATTTTTACTAGAGCAACTTCGAGTCTACAAGGAAAAGTAAAGCTAACACTTGAACTAATGACTTTAATTTATGTAAGTTATAGCAAATCGTCTTCGAGATTATGTAAACTCACTCGAACTAAACTTTATATAATTGCTTTATCATTCCATAGAAAAATGTTTTAAGACTCACTGCATTTATTGACACTCATTTATTATTTTGTAAAGGAGGAATTTAGTAAAGGAATCACATTAGAATTAAGCAAAACCTGCCAAACATAATATTTATTAAAACTTGAAAAAAATTTAATTAAATAAGATATTGGAAATAAATTTTGAAATAGAAATCAAATTTGTCATTGCGTTTATTATGTACCAAAATATTATAATTCTCTTTTTAGATTCGCCCTACAAGTTGTGTTCGAGATATCAAAGGATGGATAGAATCACGTGATGGTGGACCTTGTAAAATGACAGCCGATGGACAAGTTGACGAGGATTGTATTTTTATTCCAAATATGCATAGTAATGAAGCTAAAGCTTCCATTATGTATATGCCTTTTATACCTTCTGTAAGTATATTTAAATAGATCTATTTCATTTTTATATTTGCATACTTTACTTTTTATATTTGCATACTATACTTTACTTTTAGAATTAAATTTAAAGAATTTTGTTTTTATATATAAATGCACGTATTTTGGTTTGAAAATTAATTATATACATTTATTTCTTCTTAATGCTTTATTTTGACAAATAAAAGTATATTAAAATTAAATTGTATAATTTTGACATCATTAAAAATTTTTCACACTGAAAGAAAAAACATGTGATTTTATGATTGATATTAATCAATTTCTTAAAGTAAACTTAACAAGCGGAACAGTAATAAATAAAATTTATTTTCTCTTTCAAGTGTGCTGATTAATGTCTTGAATGAATATTGAGAGGTCTTTTTAATCAAGTTCTGTTATGAGACACTAAAAGACAATTTGCTTTAAGAACCAATTAAAAGAATTATTAGAAGTGTCTTAAAAGTTTTTTTTGTTTTCAAAAAAATTAGAAAATATGTCTTATTTTTATTTTGCTCTTTTTTTTTTAGATGGAAGGATTCTGTGATGATGGTAGTCACCAGCATAACGTGTTAGCACCTACAAAGCATAATGATATTTGCAATTATAAAAGTACATGGGACGTCATTTTACAGCATCCTGATTTTCAAAAAATTCGGTATAACATTTTTTACTGTTGATTTAGTATTAATTGCAGTTTTTTTCATAAATACATTTTCTCATTATTCACAAGAAAAGAAACGAGCAAACAAGACATATTTCGGTTACCTGAGATCACTTGGTCCATAATGGTTACCTTGAAAGATATTTATAATAAATTCGCACAAAGAAATAAAACTGAATATACAAAAGTACAATGCTTGTAACATACTAATGGCAAACAGGTTGATGTTTAATGTAAATAAAAAATTACAGTCACTATATTGTAAAACATTCAAAGGGAAAAATAAAGTTAAAAGAAGTTCTCAATATCGTCCCTATGTAAACTCAGGCAAAACCCAATATAATTTTTGTTTGAATAAGCTTTGTTTGGAGGTTTTTGAAAATTAGTGTGAATAATATTGAAGAATTTAAGCGCTAAATAACTGAAGTTCTTACATAATACATTTTTGTGAGGTCTATGGGTTAATATTTTCGTGTATTTTACACCCCTTTGAGTTCATAATATAGACAAATTTAATAGGAAAAAAAAGGACGAATCGAAAGAATGTTTAAAAATTGGAAATGATTAATATTGTGTTATACTTGGCTGTTCGCCAAGGTGTTATAGATACTTAATAATTTTTATATAAATTTATTTTGAAGTAAATCGATAAATTTATTTTGAAGTAAATAGTCTTTTAATAGTTGTGCAATAATCATCTCCCCAAAACTATTTTATCTCTCTCTTTTTTGCATTTCTATAACAGTTCAACTTTGTTTTTAGCTCTGTAAACTAGGCATAAAATATTGAAGTTCAAAAATGCAATTTTATTTTAAAAGAAAGCTTATTTAAGCCATTTATCCTTGAAGTTTAAAATCTAACACAATAAGAATCCAGGTTTGAATTTAAAGCATTGGCGCTAGAGGAAAAATCACAAAACTCAAATCTTCATCCATTCAACAGGGGATAAATTATGTCAGCACTATGCTTTTTACAGATCGGGAGAAGTTGACAAATTAACCAGAGCCTTGACTGCGATTCAAACCAGGTTTGTGCCAGAAGTGCACATTTCGCATTAATAGTTTTCGATACATGCTCAATAGCAGGACTTCTCATTCTCAGTCTTGTTACTATATATGAGTTTGCTAATGGCATTGATGCATTTGTTAGCCCTAACTATTTTTTAATTTACTAGTGGATACTAATGCTAATTTCCGATATGATACAAGCTAACACTAACATAACACTCCGGTACAGGATATCTAAAATCTATGCAAACTGGCAAAAATACACTTCGGCTTGAAAATATGAGTGTGTAATATTTTAAAAAGATATATTCAATGATATCAAAGCCCGATTTCCATCTCCAAGGATGGGGAAAAGCAACTTCAAAATTTTGAATGAAAACCCCAAATTTTTTATTGCGAATTTGGATTCTCCAGAAAAAAAAACCTCAATTTGACTTACAGGCTTTGCATTTTAACTTCCAAAGGACAGTGTCATTTTATTTTTTCAAGTAGTTAATCAAGTTTTGAGGTTTCTAATCACGTCTTCCTCAACATTAATTCATCAAATGCAGATTTTTTTTCTTAGTTAAAATAATAATTTTTGATCTTTGATATGCATTTTTTTTTTTTAAATTTCATTTTTGATAAAAATTTTAAAATATACTTTTAGAACTATGATTACGGAACACCTTGTATTTTACTTTCTCTTTTCAATTACCAAAGGAGAGACTTAAGCACTGAATTATTATATTTTTCTTTTATCTTTCCCTCTCATATTAAGACAGAACTAAATTTTATGATTTACTCTAATTTTCTACTACATTATTGCTTTAGATCAAAAAGAGATGCATCAAGTGAGCTTACTGAAACCCTTTTCCGATTGTTTCAGTCACCAAAGAACCCAACATCCCGTTACGTACTAGTTCTTGATGTCTCTGGCAGTATGAATGTGAGTTCATATTTAAATAATATTAATATTGAAACAACTTATCACTATAATAACCCTATACACGATAATCTTTTTATTTTAACATTTTGCTGAAATAAATTAACCGTATTGTTGTCTTTTTAGGGTCAGCCTATGAAATTGCTCCATGGTGCAGCAACAAGATTAATTGAAGATCGAGTTCCTGATGGAGCTTACTTAGGAATTGTTCAATTCAGTACTGAAGCTAGTACTTTACAGAATCTTACTAAGGTTGATAACGAAACACGGAAAATGTTAAGCAATAATTTACCAGCCAAAGATGATGGAGGAATGACAGCAATTGGCAAAGGATTACAGGAAGCTATCAAAGTTCGTACAAATGATTAGAAAATAAAATAATTTTTATTTTAAATAACACATTTTTATATATAAAACTTTTTTATAAAAAATAACTTGAAAATTATTATTTACATTCAAAGGCATAATAGCATCACAGAATACCATTCAGTCTCAAAATATGTGAGAAATGTAATAGTGTAAACATTTCATTTTGATTAACAATGAAATATTTCTAAAATATAATCTTGTTGGCAGTGAAATATTTGAGCTATATAATTTTGTTAAACTGTCATTTTGGTACTTAAACAAAAATTCAATATTGTAAAAATTTCATTTTGATTATCAATTAACATTATTGGGGTGTTAATATTTAAATATTTCTTGGGTGTCATCTTTGTAAACTATTTCTGGAATATTTCAGAAATATTTTAGTAGTGTTTCAGATTTGTTTACGTCTGCGTATTAAAAAAATTTTAAATCATTCTTGTATCTCAATATATTGAAATATGTATTGAGGCACTAATAATAGTAATCTAAAAAGCATATTCCATCGTTTTGTGCTATATAGGCGTATTAACTCATATATATATATATATTCTATTTCAAAGGTACTTACAAACGATAACGGTACTGTAGATTCTGGTCTTATTATGCTAATTACTGACGGAGAAGAAAATGTGTTACCTTTTATTGAGGATGTCTTACCCAAAGTCTTGCAATATAATGTCATAATAAATGCCGTGGCTTTTGGAACGAGTGCTAGCGATAAATTAGAAAATATTACAACAGTAACAGGTGGAAGAGGATATTTCTTCTCAAATAATGGGAGTCGTCCAGCATCAGCTCTAGATTCTGCATTTCTGGAATCGATTACATCTCAGGTAGACGTTGAATTACAACCAGTTCAAGTAAGGTTTAGTTTGATAATCTAATGATCATATGATTTTGTCAATCACAAAATGTTTTTTGCATAATATCCGAGGTTTATGAAAGCTTTAGAATTTATAAAGCTCGAAGTACTGACTTTTTATTTGATTGGTTTGTTTACTTTAAAAAATTTGAGCAATTTTTAGGAATGTAGTAAAAACAATCTTACGTGAGAAAGTTAAATAGATAATGAAGAAAAACTATCTTTCAACCAGACTTCGTTAAGCTAGATCTTCTTTTTGTCCAGTAGGATAAAAATACACTACGGTTTTATATATAACGCCGAACTAAGAATAATTTCGAAATTTTTTGCTGCGAGTTTTACTTCACTACCAGCATTGCTTTTCGCCCACTGTGTTGTCAGATTTTCCATCGTCATGATTTAAAAAAAACGGAATGCAGATGACCAGCCCCATTAGCACAAGTGAATTGGCATATACTCTTATTTTAAGTGTTAATTGTCCTCTGATTTTACTACACTTGTTTTTATTATTTTATAATTAAAAATGGATTATTTCAATTTTGATAGAATTGATGACCGTTAGTGTTCTTTTTTTTTAGTGATTTACCTCAGCAATGAGAATGCGATATTTCTTCCATAAAATACGATACTTTTTTTTCACTTACTTTAACAAGACATACAACTAATTATCTTAAGTTTAGTTACATTGACTGATTATAAAATGGTTTAACAACTGTCTTGAAAAAGATTTCTTCGTGCTTATTTTTCTCAATTTATTCAGCAAAAAACATTACATGCAGCTTAAAATAATTTTTACTCGACTTTTTTGATCATTTGTCATTTTCTGATAGTAATAAATATGCCTTTAGAAAATGTTTGTTAATTGAATTAACTTAATTACATTTGCATAGCTCAAGGATGAAATGTTCAGTTTAGATGCACCAACAGTAACAAAACACGTTCACATCGATCAAGAGTTAGGCAAAGATACCACGTTTACCATCACTTCACGCCATATTACAAGAGTTGGGGATGTAATTTTACGAAGTCCATCTGGAGTTGTGTTTGACAGCAAACATGATGGTTATAGTCGAGATGACATACAGCGACAACGAATTCAAATTTCTTTACCGACAACCGAAGTAAGACACCTTTAAAATTAGAATGGATTGAAAAAATAACAATATATTGCCTTGATATTTAAAATTTTTGAAAAAAAAAATTCTTTTTCATTTCTAAATATTTCAGCCAGGGAAATGGGAGGTTATCATCCGAAGAAGAGATGATTATCCAATAATAGTTGGATTTACAGTGACGTCTGAACCAAAAGACATTCGCGACCAACCGATTCGGGTTCGTTCCTGGTTGAATGAAATACAACTAAAATTTCCAGCACACGCCAAAGTATATGCAGAAGTTAAGAAAGGATATCTTGCAGTGATTGGAGCAACTGTTATTGCCACAGTGGAAAGACCTATTGGATCAACTATAGATATTGAACTTAAAGATGACGGTTTGGGTAAATCTAAAACATTCTTGTTTTGATCATTGACTATCCACCATAGATTAATTGAATATTATACTATTCACAGTTGTATTTACTTTTTTAATTTTTCAAAGTATCATTTAAATAAGTTATTCTTCTTTGCAATTCTTCTGCACATTCAAAATGTTGCAGTGAAAATGGCAAACAATGCTGGTAAAGAGTTTCTGGAGAAACAGTTTGATTAACAATTACAATAACTAATAGTCTGCATTGAAGTAATAAATTATCGATTTTTCTATATATTGAATTATTTTTTATCTCTCACAGGACCTTCTATGGGCCGAAATAAATGTTGGCCCCTAAAATTATTCAAAGGGCATGCATCCCACCCAGTTTATTTCAAAATTAGCGAGTCACACTTCCCTAGTTTCCCTTGTAAGACAATTAATTCAGCACCCTCTGATGATAAATTGCAACATATGATTCTTATGGTATTCAGTATGTGTTTTTATATACATTATGCTCTTGCAACAATTACTCTTTGTACAAGATTTCAAAATCCTTTCAAACTGACCTTAAGAAACTATTCACATGACGCTGAAAATAAATATTAAAGACTTCTCTTATCGAAAGGCAAGTCCTTCAAGACAATAAAACTGTACTTTGATGATTTACTATTTTGGTTTTCCTTATCTCAATAATAAGTAATTAAAGTTAATTAACAATTAATTAAATTTTCGAACCATTTTTTTTTCTCTTCAGTTAAACATTAACTTTCAACCCTAATATGCGAAATTCTAATTTTATTTTACTTTTAAAATTAATTTTTGCCGGGGTTCATAGAATATAGAATAAAGATTTTCGATAATAGAGTCAAGTCGATTGTTACAGAACACCCTGTCTATAGATTTACCCTCCCTCAAAAAGAATTTTAAGGATTTAGTTTCTTTAGTTTAATTTTATTTAGTTTTTACAGTTTAATTTTATTTAGTTTTTACAGTTTAATTTTATTTAGTTATGATATTCTAATTTTATATATTTTTATAGTCTAATTTTATTTTGTTTTCATAGTTTAATTTTATTTGATTTTTTATTTTACAAATGGCACAGATTAACTCTTTTTCACCAAAATTCTCATTAGACATTCCAAACATTTGAAATTCTTAAATTTGATCATTAAAACTTCGTGACACAAGAACATCAAGAAAAATTATACTTTAAAAAATGGCTTGGTAAAATTTATAAATAAAGGGAAATATAATAATAAAAAACGATAAAACGAAGAAGACACAGTTATTTTTTTTCTAAATCCTGTCAGTTTTAACTTTTCACATATATTTAGAAGTACTACACCTAATTTACCTTAAAATACATCTTAAATGATTAATTGATTTCTTTCAAAACATATCTTTGAGAAAATAACGCAAACTATTAAGCCAAGAATGAATCACTTAAGTGACTTTCGTAATCAAGAACCATTATGTGTATTTTTAAAATTCTTTTCAAAATCGAAATCAATATAATATGTAAGACAAAAAGAAACAAAAACATTATAAAAAAAACTTTGCCAATTCAATTTACAAGTAAATCACAAAAATGGGATTAAAATCATCCCTAAACCGCGGTTGTATGAAACTGAAAGATGTTCCTAACGTAAATTACTTAACAAGAACTCTAAAAATATATATTAGAGATGGTAATCATGGAAAACCTTTTGCGTATATTAATTAAACTCTTTTGAGCTTGGTGAGAGTTTCTAAAAATATAAACTTTAAAAAAAAAAAAAAAAAAAAAAAAAAAAACAAGAATGTCATGATTGAACTCTTAGGTTAATAAGTTGTTTTTTTTTTAAAAAAAAATGCAGCATTACATTTTATTATTATGAACAGAGTAGTTTCATACATGGGAATTTTTAGAAATTTTACTTATATAGTTAAGAACTATATAAAAAGTGTTTTTTGAAATTTTAGGAGCTGATGTAACAGAAAATGATGGAATTTATACTGGATATTTCACGCATTTCAATGGAAATGGTCGATATGCTGTGATAGCTAGGATATCCAATGATGGTCAAGCGAAACTTAAGCAAGGCATTTTATCCTCAGGTTCACCACCAATCCCTGTACTTAAAGGTAACATTTTAGATTTATTTAGGTTTTGGCAGAATTAAGATTAACTATTATATATATATATATATATATATATATATATAAATATATANTTTTTATTGAAAGAAATTCCTTTATCCTCGCACGGAGAAATACTAACGCGTTCTGGAGTATTCACCTGTTCTTCTTCAGACTCTGATATTATTCGTTTAATTTTATTTATATATATATATAAATACACACACACACGCACACATTTCAAGCTAAACTCTAATGTTCCATAAACTTAGGTTATTAGAGGTACTAGATTATTTTTACGGGTAGAGTCCACTCTACAATTTATTGACTGTTGGGAAAAAGGGTCCATTCCTAACAACATAATACGGTAAAATATTTTATGCTTCTTAACAACTATTATTGGTATCAAAACTTGCTCACTACTTTTTCATTCCATTCCTCTTATTATTTTATTCAATGAATGCGTGTGATGGCGTTACTGCAAAGGCCTGGGGTTCGATCCTCATTGGCGTCTTGTCATTGTTAGATTTATGGCTACCAGCTTGCGTGGGTAGTCTAGATGACCTGTGCATAATTTTGATCGCGTTACTACAGCTATGCCTTTGGTCTCGATGTTGAGGTGAATTTTTGGTTTCTGATTTAATTTTAGGGACAGTGTCAGTTTTTTTCCTAAGGTGATTTTTTAGTAATTTTATGTACAGTGTCTGTTCTTTCAAAAAAGTTCCTTCACATAATAATTGTTATTTTACGGGCAATGCTGCTTATTTTACAGGCTGATCCAATATTTGCTACGATTCAAATTTAAGTGTATTTAAAATTTATTATTCTTTTGAAATAATTAAGGAATAATTTCAATATTTTTGTAGTTTAATTAATTAAAAAGATAAGATAAGATAAGATTAAAAGATTTTTTTACGTCAAAACAATTAAATACAAAACAAGAAAAACTAAATATGGTTATGTTAGAAAAAAAAGCTTTTTTTCATATCTTTACCTGCTTAAAATTTTGCAAAAATAAAATGCCATTAAAATAAACAAACAAATGGAATAATTTGAGCTTAAATCAGAAAAAAATAATTTTTCAGTAGATCAACTCAAATTCCAGAGTTCTTGTTAGCTTTTTAAGTTAAAATATTTTTGAAACATTTTAATGTTTCGGAAACTCAAAATTAACGTCGCATTTTGAAGAAAAATTAAATAATGTTTTCAAACTACCCCTTCTGCTAATTATACCGTATTAATTAATTAATTTCGATTTTAAATATGGAAAAATTCGGTCGAAACGAGATTAAGATCTGAATTAATATTTTAAAAAAAATGAAGTTAAGTTTTATGATTTCTTAATTCACGAGCTGTTGAGCAAAGTTAGCAAATTTTCAAATTTTATAATTTTTGTTTTTTATAATTTTCCATTTTGCTTCCATTACAAGTAAAATCTAAGTTCTAAGTAAATCATTAATAGTTTTCTATATCATTAAAAATATTTGTTAAAAATTTCCTTAAGTCTGCAAATTAATCATTAATTGTCTAACAGTCGGAAAGAAAGACAAGGAGAAAAAATTCAATTCGGTGTTCATTTATTAATAGCACCGATATTTTTTTTCAAGCGCAGATTCGTAGCTAAAATTAAATTTAAAATTGATCAACGATTGGCAAACAGTCTAAAAGCAACAGAAGATGAATTCTATGTATTATAAATTAGTAAAAACGGAAATTCTTAAAAACTCTAGTTATTGGGTGAAATTAAATTTTTGTATTCACTTTTGCATAATGCAACAAATTTTTTTAACTACAATAATTCTTGAACTTAAAGCTAAAAGCAAAAAGCAGTTGAAATGAAATTAAAAAGTAGCTTTTAAGAAGAAAATGGTGTAATAGACAAAATTCAAGGATTGTGAAAAATGAAAGCTTTTTAAAAGGAATCTCATTTAGAGCTTAACGCAGCTAACGCATCTAAATATTAACGCAGCTATTTTTTCCCCGGGGCAATAGAACTCAGCCGTAGTTAAAACTTCATTTGAAAAAATACTAATAACTGTTAAAAAATATTATGTCAAAAAACTTGGTGCGCAGTTCTTTTTGCTTTGCAATTGACTGTAATTTTTTTTAAAAGGAATCTCATTTAGAGCTGTAAAGCTAAAACTTGTAGTAAATCGGGAATCAGCAAGCAGTCTTAAAAAGATAAAACCAAATTTTGTGCAGAAAAATTCCGAAACTGTCAAAAACTTTTAAAAAATAAAGATATTTCATTTGAATTGCAACAAAAGAAAAAAAATCACCCTTTCAAATAACAAAAAAAAAATCAACCTATTTATTTAAACTCAATAATAATTATTTTATACATTTTTTATTAGGATCTTCTACAGATGAATCTCCACCCTTAAATGAATTTGCTCCAGAAAATTTTGAGCTGGTACCGAAAAATGAGAGCAAACCAAAAAAAGAGCTCAACGCAGTTCCTGCCAATAATTTCGATCGATCTTCGAACCCAGGAGCCTTTCGTTTAGAGTCTTGGACACAAGATGCAGGGGATCTTATCCCTCCTGGAGACATTTCTGATTTATCAGTAGTTAATGTCGAGACACTATATGATGAACATAGAGTAACACTTCATTTCACTACTCCCGGAGATGATATAGACGTCGGTCAAGGTAAATATAGAAAAACTTAAAAACCTTAAGTATCAGTATATCCTATCAGAAGTTAATGCCGAGACATTAAATGGAGAACATAACAGCAATACATTGTTTCCTCCCTCCTGGAGATGATATAAAAATCAATCAAGATAAACATAGAAAAACATAACAATATTAAGTATCAGTACATCGTATCAGTAGTTAATGTAAAAATAATAAATGAAGCAAGAGCAATACATTCCTGTTGCAAGAGCAATACAATGTTTCCCCACTCCTAGAAATGATATAAACGTTGGTCAAGATAAACATAGAAAAATTAATATCAGTTTATTTTATCAGTAGTTAATGTCGAGACACTAAACGAAAAACATAGAATAACACTTCATTTTACGATACTTGGAGATGATATTAAAGTCAATCAAGGTAAATATAGAAAGGCATAAAGCATTAAGAAAAAATACTTTTTTAAATCATTTAAACATATTATTTTGCAACACACAAAACTATGTGTTTCAGAAAAATGTAACCTTCATCCCCAGATGGAAGGAGTAATAGAATCACGTAGTATAATGTTGTTATAAAAATAGCAATTTTGTAAATTATTTTTTTACCAAAGAGAATATATGCGTATTAATTGTTTAGTTTAGGAGTTAATTTCCTTATAATTTTATATAAATCCTAAGAATCATCTAAATCTATGCAAATTTATTCAAATGATTGTATTAAT